CCATGAAGACATACATACAATCAAAATGAATACAAACAGAGGGCTCAATTGGGCATCCTAATCCATATGCATAACTCAATAGGTAAGCATATAACCTAAATCAATATTAAGTGGATGGATAAGAATGAAAGCAATAGCCCTCATGAATGTTGCAATATTACTACTACGAGGTAGAAAACAGATTTAAGAATAGCTGTGAGCACAAGTAATCAGTTTGTTAGGGGTTTTGCCTTGCGAACATGACCGATGCTATTTACAAGATCCTTCCGGGTGCAAACAGGGAACATATTTATATTCTTAAACACTTTGAAACGCCATAGAACATATGGAAAACTTAGCTGATCACGTGATGTGAAGCGAACTACCTCATTAAACCAGAGGCACATGAGGAGATTAGTTGATGGATTGTGTTCCCGGACTATAATTGAGGCCTCAGAAAGAGCTGCACAAATTACGCAGAGTAACTGGTTAGTAAAAGAAGGAAGATATATATAGCAAGATAGAAACAAATATGGTTCAAAAGATATTATGGGTAATACATAAAGACCCTCATTCATAGTGTGATTTAGATAATTAGATTCATAATATTGCTTTTTAATTCTGATACAATTGCTAATATCATCACCTACTGCATAGTCCACCTATGAAATACAAGGAGTGAAAGCATACCCTTCTTTCCATTGAATCTCTTATCCTCGGGGAGGCCATCCTTGCGATACTGAGTTATTTGTACCTCCACCTCCTCCGGGGTGGCCTTGTTTTTTTTGACAACAGCCTTTGCCTCATCATATACGCTACTGCGAGCTCCATGTTCTGAAATTGCCAGTACAGAATTTGAACGCCAGAGTAGGGCTTCAAACACACCCAAGGGATCCCTCCTAAACTGGGATTTTGAGTCTACCCAAATGGAATATCTAGCATTTGGAAAGAGCCGATGGGGCAACATCTGATTAATACAGAAATTAAGTAAATTCTCACAATTCATGTAACAGATGGAAACTATTCAATTATCAGGCATCCATGTACTTACACTAACGGAAACAAATCAAGCTACACATACAATTTGCAGCAAAAGAACAGATTATATACAAGACACATGCACTAGGATTGGAATAGCTGAGTTGCCTTATAGTTGGCTTTTCACTTCACTAATAAAAATAAAAATTGACTACAGATTCAAAGAAGAAAGCATAAAGAAATTGGCAACACAAGTCACAAAATACCTTTGGGATTTTTCCATTCAACCTTTGGTCACTAAAAGGTAGATCCTTGACTAGGATAATGCGCCACTTTCCAATATAATTGTCATCACCAACAATACGACCCTCTGCTAGTTGTGTTGCAAGAGTAATATTATCCCAAAATGCCACATAGCAAACCTGCATACATTAATGCCATAACTGCATTAGAAATAAACATACTCATATCAGAAGTCAATAACAAGTCTTTGAAAGGAACCTTCTTGAGAGATGACTCTGACATTCCTATTGGTTGGTAAAGATTATCTCCACCGCCAAATGCACATGTTGACACCACGGATTTGCAAGATTGCATATACTCTTTGTCTTCATCAGAAATCTTGAACCCTCCTGCCTCACTGTAAAAGCCACAGTTGACAACAGCTGTTTCACTTACCTGAGACATTAAATAACATTAAGATACCAGCTTTCGTAAGGACTGGTTTTCATTGGCACAAATACCTACTAACTGCCAGTAAAAAAGTACACCTGTTTTGGTGCAGGATGAACTTTAAGAGATCAATAAACATATATCTGAAAGCATTCAAGTTTTAATGCATTTCGAAAATTTTCCAGTATGATATAAGCCTCTGAAGATAGCCAAATGAACAATACAAGTGAACCTAATCCAGATGAAGACATCAATATGCAACTTCTAACCTTAAAGCTTTCTTCCCTTTGCTCAAGTGATTGGCTTCCTGTGAATAAGTTAAATCTTGTTGAGTCAGAGAATTGTTGAAGTAGTGTCAAGTTCCCTTCAACAGGGTGTTCATTAGCATCTGATTTGTATACTATGCTTTGAACAGGTTTAGTATGTGCATCTCCAATTGGAAAATCCAGTTTCTCAAGTTCTTCAGGAGGTAAGAGATCCAAGCAACCTAAAACAATTCATAGTACAAATGAGTATAAAACATGAAACAATACATCCATAAAAAGTGCTATGCTTATCAGTTTATTCCTTTTAAATGGAAACTTCTGACTCATGCAAGCAGTGGATAAAATTGAATACTATAAATTACTGATTTTACTGATGAAAGTTTGGAGGTCATTTTTATTGGAGAAATGAGTACGGATGGATTATGGGCTATAAACTAAGGAACTTATTTCCATAAGAATTAGCTAAATAGCAATCATTGTAAAGGAGATCTGTATTATCCCACTAAAAGGCTGCTTCAGAGATAGCAAAATTAGTTCGAAGCATTCCTCATTTCACCAAAAACCGAAGTTTCTCAAACTTAGAATACAATTTGTGAATTTAAAACACCTACATACACAAGAAGTTTAATTTCTGAAGAGAAATAGAAAATGACGTAATTAGTGAAAATAGTAACAACTTCAAACTAAAATTACCAATAATTTGAATGATGCAAAAGAGCGACGAAGAAACTACTGAAATACTTTAGGCGAAACTCACGTTCTCTAACTCCACCGCGAACATGAGTTACTGGATCAAGGCGATTCAAATTTCCCGGGGGTTTTCCCACTACTACGGTATCGACCGATTTCTTCCGAGGCAGATGATCCGAATTTCTAACCTGAGGACTGGATTTTCCACCGATACGAGACGCCTCAAAGAGGAGAAGTCCAAGAGCTAGAAGGAAAAGCAGGACGGGCCACCACCTTAGAAGCAGCTGGATGACTCGTCGAGTGAACTCGGTCTTGCCGCGAACGCCATGTTTCTTGCGCTTCCTTCGCACTCGTGCCCTAATTCTCCCGGCGAGCTCGTCAGACTCGTCATCGGAAACTGTAATTGAGATGCCATTGTTGTACATCGACGAAGCCATTTTCTAGAAGAATAGAGCTCAGAGGCGTGATAGTCTCATAGATGCGACAGACAGTGACTCTGTGAGGAACAAGTTTTAAGATTTGGGCCTGATGCTTGCTACTTTTATGGGCTAAATGGGCCCACTTCTCAATTTAATTTGGGCCTAATTTTTTAAAATTTGGGCCCAAATTTATATATGACCATTTGTATTAAAATTGAATTTGTCCTTTTTCTTTTTTTTTTGGCCAATCATTATTCCATGGACCATGGTCAATGTGTGAACCATAAATAAAAAGTACATTTTTAATATAGTAAAAGTACATTATTTGTATACATAAAGTACATTATTTGAAAATATATAATTTTTTTTATATATATATTGTCAAATAATGTACATTCAATTGCATATCTGGTCCACACGATAATTTTCCTTTTTCCCTTATACTTCGGAAGTGTGATAGAGATGAGTTTTGGTTCAAAACTACTGTTTGAAAATGGTAAAACTGACCTTATGAATGGAGTAACATATATGGAGAGAGCTAATTTTGATTAAATTTGAGTTGAAAAAAATTTATAATATATGAAAAATGTTAAAAGTGTCAATTGTATCTGGTACAACTATAAGTGAATGTAAACAATTTTGAATTTGTATTGGATGCAATGGGAACATTGTTCCTAATATATTACCTAGTAGGCACCAAACTGATCAATTCTATAATATACATAAAAAGAGGGTTTTTTTTTTTTTTTTTTTTGAAAATAAACTGCAAATTCATTAATGTAACTCAGTAGACAATACATCAAACAGAAAACTAGGCAAGATGAAAATCCATTCCCTAAAACCAACAATGAATACAGCTTCCCAAGCCAACATATAAGTTGCCTTGTTCGCGAATCACTTAACATACATAAAGCTAAGATTTGAGAACTCATTAGCTAATTTCCTGATATCCTCAAGAATAAGACAAAAGAGGAATTGCAAGTAAAATTCCTCGGGCCCTGAATCACTAAAAGGGCATCGAATTCAACTTGAACTCATAAACTCCAAGTGTCTTCTCCTCCATGCCTCCAAAAACACTCTTGGCTTCCTCCATGATTTACTGAGTGAGGGGAATTGTTGTTGTTCCATAAAGAGAGGTATTACTTACCACCAAGTTACACCTCAACCATTTCAAATCAAATAGAAACTGCAGTCTGCAGATCTTATACAATGTACACAATTCAAAGTAATATAATCATCTTCTAAAATGGTTGAAACAAATTCAGAGGCCATCATTCAATCCATTGGATGCCATGGTCTAAGAATCTCACAAAAACTACACAATTGCATGATGAAATTGGACTCAATCTAGCCTAGCAGTCTTGCCCCTTTGCCTCCATCAGAACAAAAGTTTGCTTCTCTTCTCTATGTATGTGCCTAATGTGACAACTCAAATTTCTACCTAACAGTTCCCAAATAGCAACAATAATGTGCAAGTACGGGTCTAAGCCACTCCCCTCTCGTCCAACCTTGATGCAGGTGAAAGAGGATGAGAATCACTTGCCCGCACGAGCTTGGATCAATGGTTTAGTACACAGTATTTGGGAGAAAAAGACCAAGGTTCGAACCTCAGCGGTGGCAGTATGGGGGTTATGCCCAAAGTGAACAAGTCCCTTGTGCGCACCGCACCGGCATTTGGCCCGGTTTGTCGAGCCATTGAGTGACCGTGATTTACATCCTCCCAAATGCTCTGTCGGGCCGGGATGTGAGGGGCTCTTGAGGTTGGGGATTCAAACTTTTGGGAGAAGAAGGATGATAATCACATCTACATGAGAGAGCTAACTGAAAAGTTTCAAGAAATCAATGACAATTATGAAGTGTATAGCAAGAATTGTATATATGTATGTATAGCCATTATGTATGTATGATAATCATTATATGCACACAGCACACCCCATGTAGATATGTATAGCCACCCAGCAAGAATGAACATGCTGAATCAAAGACAAACACAAGCTTGGCAAACACTTTCTACTGCTAAAAAGTGATGGATTGACAACAATAAATTATTCTGATTATGAAACACATTGCAACTTTAGTTTCTATCTTTGCATTCATAATCAGCCTACAAAGACTCAAATTTGCTAACTCTACTTGTCTGTACATCTACTCCAGAAATGGTAAAGAGCAGTACAAAGCAAATGTGAAATCTAACCTGCATGCAACAATGGAGGGAGTTATTTCTGTGAATGGAAAGCAAAGAAGAAGGATATAAACAATGTGAAGTTTCTAAAGTTCCATCTTCACTCTTTTATTTGGCTCCAAGATCCTAGTGACAGAATCAGCAATCTTTCTCTGAGTCTCAAGAATCATATCCAGCATCTTCTTCTGCATCTCAATTCTGAACCTTCCAGTGTCCCTCATCATCTCAATCTTTCTCTTCTCCATCCTCATAAACCTCTCTGCAAAACCCCTAATTTCTGCAGCCAATTCACTGTCTCCATCTCCTCCATCCTCTTCTTCCACCTCTATTCCATCTTCATCTACCTCCTCATCTTCCCCTTCATCATCGCTGGGCTCATTCGCAAAATTTCCTTTCCTAAACTCATGCATTGGGATTCTCCTTTTATTCATATTTCTAGTACCATTCATTTCTCCACTTACAATGTGGTTTATACTCTTGGACTTATTTTTCTTCAAATCAACGCTTCCATAACCAGCAGCATTCGCCGCTTCGTTGTCGCTATCCTCTTCGTACCTATTGGCATCGTAATTAGGGTTCTGATACTTTACCATGGCGACGGGATGGGCGGCGATCGGCAAGGGCCCGCGTTCGAGATTATCCATGAGGTCGAAGAACTGCCAGGAGTTGGGGTAGGGCTTAAGGCGCTCGGCCCTGTAGCGCTTCCGGAGCTTCTCGATCTTGTGGCGGCACTGAGTGGAGGACTTGGAGAGGTCGTCGAAGCCGCAGCGGGCGGCGACGGCGATGGCGACCTCCTCCCACTGGCTGGCCTTGAGCTGGCCGCGATTGAGAGAGTACCACTTCTCCTTGTAAGCTTGGATGAGATTGACGGTCTCTTGGGGGGTCCAGGGGAGGGGATGGGGCTTTTTGGGGAGGGAGGTTAGGGTTTCGGGGGAGGAGTGGAGGGAATGATCGGAGTCCGGTGGAGGGGAGGAAGCGGTGGCCATTGATGGTGGAGGGAGAAAGGATTGTGATTTATGGATAGGAGTTTTGGGGAGAAGGAGAAGGAGAGGTGAATTTATGGAGGGTTTGGGCGGTGGGCATAGACGCGGTGGCCGCACGGAAAGGCGGCGGTGGTGGTGGTTGAGGTGAGTAAAGTGTTGGTGGGTGGCTCGTGGCTGTGGGGCGCCAAGAGGACCGACTACCGAGGACGTCGAAAATGGGCTGGGAGTGGGTAGGCCGGATGGGTCGTGACCCGTATCCATAACTCTTTTGTTTCCTTTCCAATTGGGCCTCATACTATTTCAAAAAGAGTAAATATCCAAAATGGTCTCTCGACTATAGCTAAATTCACAAATTGGTCATCAACTTTCAATTTTAACCAATTAAGTCATTAACTTTGCAATTTTGACACGATTTGGTCCTCCATCTATTTGACCATTTGTTGACTGTGATCGACGATCTCCAGAAGAACCTTCAGCTTCGTCGGAGCACGTGGAGGCCTCCAGGATGACGTTGCACCGGTTCGGAAACACACCGTCTTCTTCGCTCTGGTACGAACTCAACTACATTGAATCCAAAGGGAGGATGAAGAAAGGCGACCGAATTTGGTAGATTGCTTTCAGCAGTGGATTCGAATGTAACAATGCGGTCTGAAAATGCAACCGAAACCTTAAAAAACCGATGATGGACCATGAAATTACATATATATCATCAAAAATCACAGTCAATAAACGGTCAAATAGACAGAGGACCAAATTGTGTTAAAATTACAAAGTTAAGGACTTAATTGGTTGAAATTAAAAGTTGAGGATCAATTTGTGTGTTTAGCTATAGTCAAGGGACCATTTTGGGTATTTACTCTTTAAAAAAATATTAAGTTTTGCCTTAATTTTTTTTTTTTTTTTGATGCATATCACTTAGCATATGGAATTACGATACGACAATTTATATCGTGCACTAGGGCGCACATTGCATTGTGCACCCTGATATAAAACGACGTCGTTTCAGGTTTTTAATTTTTTTTAATTTTTATTTAAATTTCGTTATCCTGTGTTGGTGGTTAAATTTTTTTTTTTTTTTTTAAATTTCATGTTAAAAAATGTACATATTTTTATGCTAGAATACACATAATTGCATACATGAATGTACATAATTGCAGGGACGGAGCCAGAAATTATGTTGAGGGGGGGCAAAGAAGTAGGGCTGGATTCAGTGGTGGATTCGGGAATTTTTTTCGGTGGGAGCAAACAATTAAAAGATCGGAAAGAGAAATTTTGAAAAAAAAAAAATGAAACACTTAAGTATAACAATAAATATTGTTGGATATAGCGAAAATAAAACATATTAAAATTTTATAAAAATATTTATAACAAAATATGAAACATAATTAATTTGATAAAACAATTCGAATATAAAACACATTATAAATTACACATCCCATTATTAATATAAAAAAAGTGATATATACATCTCATTATTATTATAAAAAAGAAAGACATCTCATTATTAATATATATGTATGGATGCCAAAATTTAATTGTGTTGAAGCAAAGATGTAGAAGATTGTGACCTTGCATTAATATAAAAAAAGTGATATATACATCTCATTATTATTATTAAAAAAAAAAAAGACATCTCATTATTAATATATATGGATGCCAAAATTTAATTGTGTTGAAGCAAAGATGTAGAAAGTTGTGATGGGGCAGCTGCGCAGCCCCCCCCCCCCCTTTGTCTCCGTCCATGCATAATTGTATAACAAAATACACATACTTTTTTTAAAAAAGATAATACACATAATCTAACATAATACATAATACACATAAATTTTTAACATAATACACATAAACTCTTAACATAATACACATAAATTTTTAACATAATACACATAAACTCTTAACATAATACACATAAATTTCCTGTTTCGGATGTACATAATTGTATAAAAAAAAATGTACATAATTGTATAAACAAATACACACAGGCCCCGTTTGGTAAAATGGATGTTAGCTGTTAGCTGATTGTGTTAATTAGATAATATAAATAGTTGATAATATTAACTGATTGTAGAAAAGTTTTTGGTAAATTAGCTGTTAGCTGATAGCTATTTGGTATAATTTCTTTTCTCAAAAAGCTAATTGAAAAAGTTGATTGGAGTAGCTTTTTGAATTTTAGCCTTTTGGAGTTGCATAAAGCTAATTAACCAAACATTTATATTGATATTTTAACTAAATCAAATAAGTCAAAATTGATCTATAGGCTAGTTTTTTACCAAACAGGGCCATAATCACGTTAACTTCCTACATAACTTACCTAAACGACATCGTTTTGGGAGGCGCGAAGCGCACAGTACTATGTACGCCGTGACGCAGGGTATAACAATTGTTGCGATACATAATTGATCGAATTCAAATCGATAAGATCAATAAGAATTTCTCACAATAAATTAAATTTAAAATTTTATAATTATTCGGGTAGTCATCCGACTAAATCAGTTGGGCTGTCCCCAATTGAAATACATTATACATGCTAGTTTTATGAATCTATAAAACTTGTACCGGTATTCTTGATACTTTATCATATATTGTCTTTTTTTTTTTTTAATAATAGTTGAATGTGTTGATGTGACATAACCATATTTCTTATAAATTTATAATTTATGTGTACTTTTTTTTTTTTAATCTCTTCACCTATATAATTTACAGTTTTTCTCGTTATTAGAATATAATTTATTATCAAGTTATACCATAACTTCTTTAAATTAAGTTTGTGATTGTTCAAGTTTTATATTATTTTCTTTTTTTGAAGGGTAATTTGTTTATCAATTACAGTATATTAGAGGATGTTGATTGATTAATTAAGAAGTTATGAACACACGGTTTAATTCATGGGGTTAAACACAAGAAATAGAATGAAAATCATACACATTGTTTGGTTGACAATTTTTTAAAGCACGATTACAAATTGCTCACAAATTATTACATGAACTTCTTTCTTTCTTTTTAAATCAATTATTGCATAACTTTGTTGTACAAATCATATAAAATGATGAAGAAAAGAACATCAATCTAAAGTTAAGATAATCAATTTATTAGATTACGTGTGATATTATGTACAAAGATCATTATTTTTTCACAATGTCATAATTACAAAGTTACACATGCACCATAAAAAAGAAACCGAGATCTCGACCAAATTCTCTCTTTGACCGTCATATGATACACTGAAAATGAAGAAATAAATCAATAATTGCTTCTTTTTATTAAACAGGGTGAGGGATAAATTGGGGTTGCATGAATGGGATATTTCATATTTGGATGTAAATGGACCCTACCATTAGGGAAAACCGGCAAATTTTGCTGCAAATATAGTGTGATGCCAATAGTTGTCACGCTGGTTTCTTAGCAAAACTGTTACAAACTGTTCAGTTTCTGTATAGTGGATGGACAAGTGGACAACATGAATTCTTTCCCTGTGTACAGTGAAGTTCAGATGGTAAGTGATGCTATGGACAGAGAGTAAAAGCATGACTGTTTTGCATGTGTTGCAGAAAAGTGGAAAGCAGAAGTTGATTGAAATTTGAGAACAAGATAAGTTGGACTTACTTTAGTAGCATTCTCCTTCAATAATTCCAGCGACTCGGTGAGCTTCACCTGTTGTGATGCTGTCGCGAACAGTGCCTGGATATATGAATGATTACGTAACAAGAATCGAACGATATATATACCAAGAAAAGACTAAAGAAGAAGAAGCATTATTGAAGGATGTTCCTCTTTTAACTAAAGGCTAAACTGATAATTGGGCTATACGTTTACTATTTATATAATATTTTGCTCAACGGGATGGGATCTTACTTCCTTTGTCTTCTGCAGGTCATGTTCAATTGACTTTATGCGATTCATTGAATCCAGAAGCATGAGCTCCTTTTCAGGAGGAATTTCTGTAGGTTTGTTTAACAGCTCTGTAACCACTTTTTCTAAATGTTGCAACCTGTGAGAGCACTGAAGGAGGTCCTCCCTTTTGGAAAGTGAGACATTCTGTTCTCTAGAACTTGAACCGGTTAAGTTTGACCTCCGCTCGTTTGCTGTTGCCCTTTCCCGACTATTCTTCGCAAAAACTCTGCCAACTTGTGCAGTGCAAATATATGCAAGTAGCCTGAACACGACGTTAACAAAAAAATTTGAGATTGATTTGTCTTGCGTTGCTCGTGTTGTCCCAGGGGTCAAATCTGTTCCAAACATAAAAGAATACGTTTATTATCTAGAGCCAATGAACCACAATATGATTCTTTACAATAAACCAATTTGAATCACTTAATATCTAGAGCCAATGAAGTCCTATTCTTTGAAATATATGATATGACTAAATAGGCAAATAGCTATTGAACCTTTTCTCCAGTAGAAATTCAGGCAATCAAAATTATACAGATGGTATGCAAATAGGAAGTTAATTAACCTTTCTAGAAAGATATTATTATTCTGCCTAAAGAAAAAGATGGTGCATCTGCTGACTGTCATACAACAATGCACTGATGCAAAGAACCACTGCTACTTACTGGAAAGGCTAACGTCTTCAACTCTACTCCTATCATTGAATCGTTCAACCATGTTGCAAATAGGCTTCCTTTTTGTTTTCTGGAATTCAAGATGGAAACATGAATATGTAGAGCAGAGAAACCAATTACAAAAGGCAAAAGTGCAAACTAGAAAAAAACGATACTGCTTCAAATGTAAATACACATAGAGCGCACGTCTGGTTTGGATGTATAGGAAAAACGCACATATTTATACAGAAATTCACAACCCATATGGTTAGATGGATCTATAATGCCACTCCCAAATACTGACTACTGAATAAGTATCACTGGTGTAGACTTGGAGTTATTATCTAGTACATCTTTGCAGTCTAGAGTTGTTATGTTCCATACACTTTCTTAACTTTGTTGTTACACTTAGGTTTCTGGAACACCTTCTATAGGCATGCAAAACCTACACTTCTCCAATGTCTACAAAATGCACAAACAATGAGGGAAAAAGCATCTAAATATAAGAGAAAAGATAGAGGTAAAAATTTGATTCTCAGCTAAAAACAAATAAAATCCAGAGTGTAGAGGAGTAACAATGCAATCTCTTTATACTTACTATGCCAGAAGGCGGCATTGACTTCACACCATAAGCATATAGTCCCATGTCTGCACTTGGTTC